CCGTGAACCACTCAAAGACTGAGCATAATTTCTAACATTTTCTGTCAAATAATCAGCAACAAATTTGCAAATCCCAGTGGCTTTACTGTGAAAGCCTCATGGCTTTGCAAGCTTAATTTTTGTGGTCAACGTGGACAAAGCATCATGAGTCTAAAGATTCATAAGCCATGAGTTTTCTCAGTGCTGATGGAGTGGGAAAGTGACTTGGACAGGAACAAGCAGGACAGCAGTAGGATCAAGGATCATACTGCCCACAAAGCCAGGCAAAGCCCATCACTAGACAGTTTCCTCTTCAAGAAGCATTTCCAGTTCAAGAAGAGTTCACTATAGTGAACTGACTATATCCACATTTCTGGAGAGCACCAATGACTGGAGGTCTAGAGGCACATGCTATATACCTAGTAAGGCCGGAAAGTCTGAGAAAGATGCTTCTAAGCACTCACATGATTCACTGATTTAGCAACTGGTAATCCACAGGAAACCCACTGCTACCACTGACAACCCAAGGGTAGAAGAGGAAAGCCTTGATTTGCACTAGTTCACGTCCAGAGTAAACTCAAGTGCAACTCATGCTGTCTTTAAGCTTTGGAGTGGCAAAGCTGGCCTGATAGACAAGGCAAAGCACAAAACCCCAGCAAAGAGCAAAGCCACTTGCACTACAGCAGAAACCTTTCAGAAGCCTGATGGCAGTGCCTCAGTCTTATCAAGCAAGTTCTGCCACTGCTTTATCAGAAGAGCAAGATCAGATCTCAGGTGTGGCACACAGCTGAGGGTGAGAGAAAACCAGAGAGCAACTGCCAAGTGACCAATATCTTTTACCAAGTCTTCTGCTCAGTATGACACAACTCTAAATGGTATCCTTTGAAGGCAGCAAAACAAAACCAAAATATAATGAAAAATATAACTAAGAGACCTTGATTAAATGCTGGTATCTCTAAAATACACAGAAATAATTCTGTAGACTTCAGCACAGTCAGATTTCAGCTTGGAGCTCTGATTTTCATTTACAACAAGTCCAGTTTCAAACCCACATTTTTATCTAGTCTGAAGTTCTTTCTAATCTTCAGGCAAAGGGTTCCTCCTGCAAATGAGTTCAGGTGTACAGTAGCAGTCCCCTAAAGATGTAAAGCCTAATTGCCTCAGCATTATAATAGCATTGGTATGTAGTGAATGCAGACAATTTCAGGGAGAATACATGTGGCAAGTTAATAAAATTTTAGATGAAGGCCACAGTGCAGGAGTAATATTTCGCCTAGCCAGAGGATGAAAAGTTATGCATTGCTATTTAAAAAATATAATTGGAATGTTAAATCTATTTCATGAATGAAAGTACATTGACCTTTAGAGGGAAGAATGACTCCTTTTCAACCCTGTATGCCCCTTCTTAACATACGCTTCCCACCTCTGCATATGTAAGTAGCAATTAATTTTCATGGGAAGTTATTTTATGGCCATTTCAGCTTATTAAATTTCCTGGGTAAACTCACAAGAAATCTATTTAGCAACATTTGTGGCTCAGGTGCCCTATAGGGAGAGAACTGGTTACCTGTGAGGTTAACACGAAAAAAATCCAAATACCAGTGCAGGGTTAGAATGGAAGAGCTCTTGGATTATTTCCCCCAAGAAAGCTCAATAACCTGTCCAGAGTACACTGCTACAGAGACACACTGTGGTTCAACACTATACAGTAAATCCTGTAAGAGCAGAACTACAGCCAGCCTGAAGATCTCCTGACAGTAATCTTCACCTGGCTGTTCCGTTCCCCATGGCAATGTACTGGTTTTCATTAGATTCTTTTGGGAAAGGTTTCCTTGCAGGCAGAGCAGAGTTTCTAGTCAAAACCACAGACAATGAGAGCAAAGTCAACAGCAACCTGGTGGTTGAGAAGAGATCTGGACCTCAAATCCAGGAGATCTGCAGCACTGCGCTCCTGTCCAAGCTTCTTTCTCCCTTCCTCTGCATTTCTTGTTGTGTGTCTTTCATACAGAAAAGATTCAAATTAATTGAATTTTTTTTTTTTTTTTTTTTGTTTCAGAGCAGCACTGGGAGAAGGCTAAGAAAACAGTACTAAGTCTGAAAGCATTTCCAAGAGAGGAAAACTGTCTTGTACCAAATTTTGAAAAGGCCAGTCTGGCACAGAAATGGTAGATGGGCTGAGGTTTGGTCCTATTCCAACTGAATGAAAGTTCCATGCAGTTTCTCTAAATGGAAGCTTCTTGCAGGATGCTCTGGTCCCACAAGGAAGAGTGTGAGAGAAATCTGGCATCAAGAATACTTGCAGAAGAGCCCTGTAGAAATTCAAATTTATGGCTTGTCTGTTGAACAACAGCTGCCCATAAGTACATCCTTTACTAATTGTTCAGTAACAGACTGAGACAAAGTGTTTTATGCTTTGTACAAGCATGCTGTTAAAAAAGGAAAGGGTTCACTCCAGTTAATTTTTTCTTTGAGCCAGCAAATGAAAGTGTAGGTTAAAGACAATAAAGCATTATTTACAGGACTCTGTTGTCACCTCTAAGGTCAGTGTGACTTCATCCCTTTGCCATTTTTCCTCACCCTAAAATATAATTCATACTCCATTCACATGGAGGATAATGTGGTGAAAATAATTTAGCAAGGTAATTATACATTTTTCTGGGAAGTACTGCAACCCTGTACATCTCCAGCAGACAAGAGGAAAAACAAAAGCCCAGTATGCCAACAAAAGTGAAGCAGTTTTCCATTGTTGATGGGAGGATTGTGTTGTTTGAAATCCATTTCCAATTAGCTTAAGCAATGAAGGAAAGGCTCAGTTGCCTTAGGAAGGGCTTTAGTTAAGCCCTGTGCACATTAGCTGCAATGGTGTCAATAACTGCAGGAATCTGACAGGCTGGTGGAGGCTGTGTGTGCTGTTATCACTGTGTCAGCACATCCTGCTGTCGGCAGGGCTGCACAGCACCAATTGAAGGCTGGCAGTGACACATGGTGTTCACACAGGCAGCACCTTAGCAAAGCAGGAGGAATGGATTTCCTAATGTTGTTAAACAAACCCACGTTACAAAAGCAGGGCAAAGCCATAAACAGTGTAACTATGCTGAGGAGTCACTGCTGAAAAAGCAGAAGTGCAATTCAGAAAGAGACCAGGATTTTTACAGGAGATTATGAACAGCTGCAAGGAGAAGTTAGCACTTCCATATAGGTAAAGGAGGTCCATATTCCTTCCCTCTTCTCCTCCTTTTCCTGCCTCCTCTGTGATTGACTTTGCATGACTGTGTTGCAGTAAGAACAGCAGAGCTTTCTCTCCAACATGATTTTACAGGGGCATACCTTCCTACTGATCTGGAAAAACATGCATTTCTCCTCAACAGTGAACCAACAGACAAAATAAAGCCTGTGAGTTTGAATAGCTTTGGTTAAAGCTCCACCCGCATTGTATTCACATCAGAGAACCTGCTAGTTCTTATGTATGCCCTTCCCTCAGGTTAAAAACACACCTTCATCCTCTAAGAAGACAAATGCATGTCCTCAAGCTCCATCATTGCTGCAAGTACCTGAGTAAAAATGGCATTTGCAACTAAGGCTTCACTGCCCGAGGAGATCTGTAAATTGAAACAAGTGGTAATCACAACAAATTCCCCAAACATAAAAAAAAAGGAGACAGGAGGCTTTGGTGTCTTTAATTTTTAATTCTTCTTTCTTTATGGCAATGTAGCAAGGGGGGTGTTGGCCTCACCTAGCCACCTTGTGGTGGACAGCACCTCTGTGCTATCCCTGCCACATCCAACACAGGAAGAGCTAACCTGGCTTTTGCCACAGCTGCAGGACTTACACACAGCCTACTCTGACAGTCAGCTTTGATTTTCATTTCAGGCAGCAAGGAAGGAGATGGGTTCCATTTGTAGTTCTTCAGATGGCTATCCCATCTTTTCAGATGAGCATCAAAAATCAGTTGCTCCAACTTTGTATTCAAAGCCCAGCAGTGACTTCTCCCTCCTCTTGTGAATTTATTGAAGTGTATTCTGTGGTCCATTAAGTAGGTGGCTACTCAGGGACACACCATTGACTTCTACAAAGCTTCATAAAAGGTACCTGACTTAACTCACTGTGACAAATTATTTGGACCTGCAGTCCTCTAGGTATTATATTCTTCTAGTAGGAAAGGCTGAATCACAGCTTCTGTTAAAGATACAACGCACACACAGAATGGAAATTTCTCTTGATCACTGGCCCATAACAGAGTCCTGATTTGAGATAAAGGAGCTGCCCCAAACCATGGCTGCCAATCACCACCCACCAGAACCAAAATTCTAAGCCAGGTTCTCTCTTCACACAAGTACCAGTGCTGCATGAGCCTTCTCAGATGTACAACTTCTTGCACTGTAGCTGATAGAATGCAGCTCACTAAGGATCCTTCGGGGTTTTAAAATGTCAATCAGCCCTTATATTTAATGTCTAAAGAGTAATAATATTAATATCAATATCCAGTAACAGAGATAGTAGCATTAATGCACAAAATCGGGAGCCAGACCCAGCTTTGGAGATGTTTGTGCTGTTCCCTGGTGTGCTGGCACTTAACCTTGAAAACCCTCGCAACACTTTGAGGAAACATCCCTTTTTAGGACAATATTTTTTAAGTTTCAAAAACCTGATCTTGCTGTCCTTCGATTAATGACACTTTAACCTTCTAGGTCTTCCTTGCGGCTTTCTAGCACATAGGAACTCCTGGCGTTTCACAAAAATCCCTCATCACTTTCAAAACAGTCCTCCTGGCCCCACCAAAGCGCTTCGATACATTTCGCACCGGTAAAGCGCAGCCCTTAGGGACAAGCCGTGAGGGGAAGGCGCGACTGCTGGGGGGAGCAGCATCGCTTCCCGCATCGGCGGGGCTGTCAGTGCCCGGGACGGTGCGGGGCGCTGGCCGCGGGGAGGGCGCACGGCACCGCCGGGGCACGGCGGGCGCTGCGCGGAGCGGGCGAGGGGCGCTGCCCGGCGCGGTGCGCGGCATGCAACGCACGGCTCACCTGCCGCGGAGACGTGGAAGAGGAGGCGGGGGCGGGCGGCGCGGATGGCCGCCGACAGCCCTCGCTCGCTGCCCGGGAGGGCGCCGCGGCGCTCGGGCATCAGCCGCACCCGCAGCCGCCCGTCGCCGGCGCGGAGCCACCAGGCGAAGAGCTCGGTGAGGTTGAACTCCAGGTGCGCCCCGCCGGAGCCCGGCGGCGGCTCCCCGGCGCAGCCGTCCCGCACGGTGCCCTCGCCCACCTCCAGCACCAGCTGCTTGGCGCGCCGCAGCCGCCGCCCGGCCGCGGAGGGCCCGGCGGGGGCGGCGGGCGGCTCGGCCCGCGGCAGCGCCCCGCGGGCGGCGCGGAGCAGGGGCGCGCAGTCCAGGCGCAGGCGGCACCGCGCCGCGGCGCGCCCCGGCGGCCCCAGCACCAGCTCCCGCACGTAGGTGCGAAACAGCGAGGGCACGACGAAGTCCATCGCCAGGCTCCTCCTCTGCAGCCGCGAGAGGCCGGGGGTGTCCCGCGGTCCCGCCGCACCCGGGGCCAAGCTCAAGGCGAGGCAGGCGGCGGCCAGGAGGCGGGCGGGCAGCCTGTCCCCAGCCATGACCCGCGGGAGGCCGGCAGCGCCCCGTCCCGCGCCCGCGGAACGGCGCCGGGGAGCGCGATACCGGCGCGGCGCTCTGCGCAGGGAGCTCGGGGCCGCCGGCGGCCGCTCCGCCCGGGGCCGGCGCTGCGCGGGCTTTGCCGGCTCCAACTACCCGCCACAACGCAGGCATTACCCAGCCAGCGCTGACGTCACGGCCGAGCGCGCCCCCCAGCAGCCAATGGCGTCCCCGGTAGCCCTCATTATGCAAATGAACGGGGGCGGGGCGGGCGGAGCGTTCATTGAGGAGAAAAATGGCCCGGCGGGCGCGGGAGCCGGGCTGGGCTGTGCGGCCCCCGGGACCGGGCCGGGACACGCGGGGGTGGGCAGCGGCCGCTTGCTGCCCGCAGGGGGGGACCTGGCAAGAGCACGGCTGGAGCCGCACCTCCACATGGCCCAGAGGGGCTGGGGGCGGGCACCGGGCGCCGAGCCCGGCTGCCACCCCCGTGTTGCGGGAGGCTCTGGGGTCCCGTTCCCCGCCTCTTCTCTCTGTGCAGGCAATGATGGACATACCTGTCCGCTTTTCTTCCTTGCTTCCCTTCCCTTCCTTACCTTTCCTCTGTCCTCCCCATCCTTCCTTTTCCTCTCTTCCTTTCCTTTCTTTCCTTCCTGGCTTCCTTCCTTATCTCCTTAAAGGCTGACGTCCATAAAACAACCCTGTATGTCTTTCCCCTGTAGAGAAAGGAGAAAAAAAATATGAGAAGCGAGAACTAGGGGGGGAGAAATCTTAGAGTATAAGTCATTCTAAAAAACGGATCAAAATTCTTCCATTTCTGCCTGAAAGCAACAGCCTTAAGAAAGGTTCATGCAACAGTTTCCCCTTTTTTACCCTTCATAAATACAATTTAATTACTGTAATTACATTAGTGCTGTGCCTTAGGATAGCTAATCATAACTCATTCATATTTCTGGAAGTTGCCTATATGAATTAATGACTTATTATTATCTCTTTAGTTTGATACTTAATGCATGTATATTTTTATAATCCAGGTACTTTAACTATATAATCATTAGAGTGCAATTATTCTGTCGTGCAGTTATTCTTGTGCTTATATCAAATTAATGTTAATATACAGATATTGTGGAGCAGAACCACAGTGTAATGCCTCCATAATTGTACTGCCACAGAGTGTAATTGCAGGCGCAATGCTAGAAAAGGGAACCATGATCTTTTCTCTACAGAAGCGTTGAGGAAGGAACTTCAGGGCAATTGCTGAAGGATTAGTTAAATAATAGAGTTTATACAAAAAAAGCCACTTCTGTGCTGTGTTTAGGCTCATACAGGTGAGCTGATTCAAAGCTCATCCAAGAAGCTGGCATTTCTCTGGCTGCAAATGCTTTGGACAGACCCTTGCTTTCCCCCAGCTCTTCTTATTTCAGAGCCCACTAGATCAACTTGCTCAACATGTGAAGCCTAATCCCTTACTTTTCAGTTTTAATGACCCTGGGTCTCAGTCTCATCATGACCCACCAGTAGGGTGCCATCCCTGGCTCTGGGACAGGGCAGAGATGCCCTGGCATAAGTCCCAGCACCTTAGTGCTGTATGCACCAGTGTCCATCCCAACACTGACACCAGGGCTGTGCCACCAGGGAGGCCACCTGCAGCTCACTTCTTGGTCCTCCTCCCTGCACCCACAGCTCTGCTTGGCCCTGGGCCAGCTGTGGGTGCTGAGCAGCAGGAAGGAGGCAGTGGCAGAGGAAGAAGAGGAAGAGCAGGAGGAAGGTAGTGATGAGGATGGGATCTCCATCATTCTCATCTGCCCCACCAGCTCTTGCAGTGCCACTTCTGGATTAGTTGTGTTGCTGCACCCCATGGTAGGGCAGGAGAGGTTCCCAGCCATGCACACACCACTGTGGGAATGATCTCTGCCTCCCCTGGCAGGGAGTTGATGGGGACATTTCTGTGTCCTACATCCCCTGGTCACCTTTTGGTCCCCAGCTGGGAAGGGTAAAAGCTGCTGTTCTGCCATGGCAGCTCAGAGGGAGCCGTGGCTCGGGCAGCACCTCTGTCCTGCCCTACCATGGGCCTTTGTCCTGCCCCTGTGTCCTTTCACACAGGGCAGGGCTGTGCAGGCACATCTGCCCTTGGGCTGGGGGAGCAGCAGGGTCTGGCACTGGTTCTCCTCTCTTTCTGCAGCTCCCAGGCACAGAAGGAGCTGTGGGTGGGAACATTACAGCGCTAAGCTGGGAAATGCTCCAGGAGCAGCCAGACAGGAGAACACAGCTCCCCAGCTGGGCAGAGGTGCCCCTGTGTTTGGGGGTGGTGTTGAGTACAGCTGTCTAAGAGGAGAGGATAGGCAGCTGGGGGCTTATCCAGCTCTCTCCCTGTTCCTTCCCACTGCACAGGGCAAAGGGAGCCCAAGTGACCTAACTGCTTAGTATCTAACCCCTGGAGAAGGAGGTGAGCCTCTGCCATGCCATGTCTCTGCTCTGGGCTATGTCCCTGAGCTCTGCTCCCCCAGCCAAGCAGCAGAGGCATCACTGCTCCCCTTCTTCCAGTCCTTGTCTTTTACCCAGTGGAGGATACCTAGTGCCAGGAGTCTGGAGAGGCTGGCAGAGGTGAGGATGGCTGCCCTGTGGCTGGGCTGGGGTACCAGGGATGTGTTGCTAGTGGAGTGAACTGGTGCGGGAGGGATGAAGGGTCTGTGGTGCCTTTTGGCAAGCAGAGGGATTGGAGAGCCACCAGGAACACCAGCATGTCCTTGCCAGTGGCACTGGGAGAAATGCTGTTGTGCAGAGCAGAGAGCCCAGGAGGACAGAGGGTCCTTCCTCTGCCATGCTCAGGCTGCTGGGGCTGGGTGGCAGCTCCCCAGTGCCCCTTCTGTTGTGGGGCTGCTCTGTGAGCAGAGCCTGGTTCTTGCAGGTTGATCCCAAGCAAGAGCCTCCAAGGTCCCTGTCTGGCAAAGGAGGACAACTTTGCTGCTCACCAGGTGAGTTTTGGAAGGATGGGCAAGGTTGTGCTCAGCCACTCACTTGTCCCGTGAGTGTCAACATGCAGGTGTGGGACCCCAAGGGAGGACATCACCTGGATGAGCAAAGACACCTGTTGTGTGGTAGTCACTGGGTACAGTTCTGGGGGAACAGAGAATCTCCACAGCTGTCCAGGGCTTGGAGGAGTGCAGGGCAAGGGCTGGGACAGGCTGTCCCAGTGACACATCAGCTTTCAGGAGTCTCCAAGCCAAAGCCACAGCTCCAGCTGCCAGCTCCCTGCCTGTTCTGTCACATTGCTCAGCACAGCGATGTCCCCGATGGGTTTTTGGGATCTGTGGAGGTTCTCTGGTCCAACTCCCCTCCTTAAACAGTCTCACCCAGAACAAGCTGCCCAGGACAGTTCATCCACTGGTAGCTGTAGGAGTCCAAAAAGGGATTTCTTTCAAAGCAGGACATTTATCTTCCTCCATCCTTTGTATTTACCAGTGAGCTGAAGTTGAGTGGTTGCTTTAGTGCTACATCAGTGCAGTAACAGCTGGAATGTAAAAGAGCCAAAGGAGACTTTTGCAAAGGTCTCTGAGTTCCTGCATTTTTTGTGAAAAGGGCAGGTTTATAACTATCGCTTCTCCTTTAGGCATGGCATTGCCCAGAATCTGCAATTAAAGCAGTCACTCAAAATTGAAAGCTGTTCTTTCTCTTGGACCTGCCTTAATTCCAACATCTTGGGGATTGAAAGCTGCACAGCAGGCCTGCCAGAGACATTCCTATGGCTTGGCTGGTGTGCACCAAGGAGAATCTGTCTTCAGCCACTATGGTCATGTCCAGGGAAAACAGCTTGTGTTCCTGAAGGGAGAAAAGAGCAGCACTGCAGACACAGCATTTGCCCCCAGCCCAGGGCAGCAGCTGCTCAAACCAGCCCTCTGTGACTGTCTGTGCTGCTGGGCCTGCAGGGGTTCAGGGCACAAGGATTGAACCTGAATTACCTTCATGAAACACAGCTGTCAGGAACCTCAGTGCACGAGGATCCAGGAGCTGGTCATGGAAATCACTGACCCAGGACATAGAAAGCTTTCAGCAACTGTGCCTATGTGCCACATAGACTGGCCATGTGCATCCATTTCTCTTTAAAACTGTTCTCATAGAAAAAGAGGGTTTCTCCTGAAAAAGACTTTTCCTGGGAGGAAGCACCAGGGAGGGTTTGAGAGGGAGCAGAACTTCCCATAGCACAGGGAACCAGATGTACAGCAAGTCTTTTTTCTTGTTTGTTTGTTTGTTTGTTTGTTTTGGTGTTCTTGTTGTTTAATTAAGGAAGAAGGTGCAGGGAGAGCCATGATGTTTGTTATAAATTCTCACCAGGCTGAACAAAGCCACCGGCCATGGGTCAGGGAACTCTTGTAGTTCATTCAACTCCAGCAGCCAGCCCACTACTGAGACTCAAAAGGTGTTGACTAAAGAGCCCTTAAATTTGTACAATAGGCTTCCACTTGTGGTGTCTAAGAAGCTTTTAATTTTTTCCTGTACACTGCCATAAACTTTCAAGTCCTCAAAAGAAACTTCTCAAAGGTGCTGGCTCAAAACACTTCCAAATGTCAAAAAACTTGTCACAAAACACTTCCACAAGCTCCCCATTCCCACAACAAACAGTATGGAGTATGGAATAGAAAATGGGCTGTGCTTTTCCCGAGCAAAGCAAGGGAGAAGAGAAATAAAGGTGGAGAAGAGAGAACAGAGAATATCATCAGCTCATGCAGATGGTCCAGAGCTGGGGCAAACAGTGAGAGTGAGAGTGAAAGAGAAAGAGAGAGGGAAAAAGCGAGTGAGGGGCACTGACCCACTTCCTTTCATAGTTAAGCTAGTGCATAGTGAACCTCTTATCTAAACCCGATTTTTCTCACCCTTTTGTTCACACATGCACAGGCAGCCCTTGGAACCGTCCTCCAGGGAGTGAGTCCAGGGTGAGAGCTGAGCACAAGTCTCCAGGCAGAGCAGGAAGATGGCTCAGCTCAGCACTGCCCCACCTCCCCAGGAC